CCCCAAAAAAAAAGAGTTAAGTAGATTAAGCCCATGGGCAAACCAAACAGTACATGACTAGTGCTACGCCCAGGTGAAGGGATTAGCTGAAGGATTCGTAGGTGAAAAATGGTAGGGGAAATGCAAGGGGATTGAAAGTATTTCCTGAGATGCTATGGAACAGAGGGTATTTGTCCAGCCTTACAACTTTGGAAAGATGAACAATAGGGTCAACAACAACAACAACAAACCCAGTATAATCCCACGAGTGAGGTCTAGTGTGTACGCAGACCTTACCCCTACCTTTAAGGGTAGAGAGGCGATTTCTGATAGATCCTCGGCTCAAGGAAAGAAAAAGAAAGCAGTAACAACAATTAAAAATAAAAATTAAAAGAAAAATAACTAGTCTGCATGCATGAATAAAGTAAAGTTGTGAACTTTATACTTACTTCCATTGTTGGAATTATTATTATCATAAGCCCAAATATTTGCAGAACTTGTTGATGGCCATTCTAATGATGATTGCATACTACTTTGAGTCAGTGAAATTCTTGAATTTTTAGAAAAGTATTCTTCTTTGTTATTTTGAAGAGAAGAAACAGAACCATTATTACTTGTAGAACTCAACCAAGAAAAAGAACTATCAGTAGTTTCAATGTCAGATGAAATTGCCCAAATTCTGTCACTTTCTTTTGGAATATTAAAACCATCTTCCACCAATGGAAGATTCTCAGAAGAACTTGCATTGTTGTGTGGAGAAGTTAATTTTTTTCCAAGTTCAAATCTTGAAAAGAACGAAGAAAATCTTGATAATCCATTGGAGTTTTATAATTTGAACCTTCCATGAGAAAAAAAAAAACAAGAAGCAGCCTATGTTCAATTGCTATGGAACTATTTGTTTATATAGGAATTAAGTGTATTTTCTTACCTGAGTAGGAGTGGGATTTAAATTATCCGATTACATTAATAATTTTTCGATTATTTATAGTTACTTCACTAGGGAAAATATTTTAGAATAATATTACTAAAAGATGAACAATAGGGTATTACATGAAATTTCAAAACATCAGGGGTTGTAAAGGCTTGTATCAATGAGGGATCCCCATTCAGGTTGCAAAAGGAAAAACGAGAGAACACCTTTTCTTCTTTTCATTACCATTGACATGTGGACATGCTCTTGAATAAGAGTATCTCATTGATGTGGTAGTATCCACCTCTAGAATCTTTTGGTAGCTCACCCTGGAATTTTGTAAACACATTATCTAAAACCCATAAGATGGGTTCAACCATCACTGGGCAGCCTAGGTAGAAGGCATAATGCTCGATTGCTCGTGCAAAATTATGGTGAAGTTTATGAACCAATTTTCTTAGTTTAACATCCTTGGTAATTTGTTGAAATGATGTCTAATTGATGATAAAATAAGGTAGCAATTTTGTGTTATGTCTTTTGGTTAGCAGTATTGGCACTAGTAGTGATCTTCTTTGCTGAAGGCACGCTCAGGAGTTTGGCCCATACACATAGGCCATTAGAAGAATTGTAGGAATAAGCAAAGATTGAAACTTTGCTTTCTGAATTCCTGGATGTTCTTTGTTGGATGACAATATTTTTGGTTTGCCCTATTGTGATTCTTTAGTGGATTTATTGAATGGCCTTTGGTTTGGTCATTTTTACCTAACGTTCCTTATTACATACAATCCAGTTAACTTTCATGAACATCAACTCTTCCTATGTTCGTAAGTACAGTATGTTTTTTAATTTTTTTGTTAATTTTTTTATTTTTTTGAAAATTATTTGTTATGCATAATATTGTGCAAGATATTGCGTTTGGACTCATTAAACAATTATACCCGGCTATATATCCTCTATATTATTTTGAGTTATTAGTCTCATCCTGTTCATGTTCCAGCACATCCAATAGTATGAAGATTCATCTTGATTTGACTTGTTCTACGGTGACCATAAACATATTGCAACCTTCATCTTTATCTGTGCTTGCAGTGCTTAAGATGAATGAAGTAAAAATGAGTAGATTTGCTCCGTGTTCAGTCTGCGAACTTCCATCCGAAAGATTCTCCTTTTTCCCTTTTCTCTCACCGTCACTAAAGAAAAGGTTGCGTTAGTTGTCTAGGGCAGTAGTGTTCACAACTGTTGCAAACAAGTATTTTGTGGCAGTTTTGCAAAATACAAAACCTTCAGGTGATACGCTTTAGGTGTCTGATTCATTTTTTGTAATAATTTTGATTCAACCATTTATGCATTTATTTGTTACTGGAACTTTGACTGAGTGAGCAATCTCTTACCAGTAATTCCTCCATAGTATTCCTGTTAGGATGACTACTGGATGTTGGCTTCTAGGCAAATAAAGAACCGTGTTCTTCATTCTTTCCTGCACGGAAACAACTGAGTTACCATTCTCATCCACCACATAATGTGGTGAATGGTGCCAAATCCTTCAGGTGCTTCTTTTCGCTTCTTTTGCTGATTAACATCCTGTACTCTGGTATATAAAATACAGACATGTGGGTGTCTCTGTCAAAAATTAGCTGTAAACAGGTTCGAGGTTTGGCACATTCCTTAATGCCCCAAATGGAACACTGAGTTTTTAGAAAATTTTGGCAGATTTCTTTCTTCTGGCTCCCATCTACCAGTATGCGCATTCGGCAGGTTTATGATGTTAATTAAAAAATTAAAATTTGTTATGATGCTAATTTCTTTTATATTTTTGAAACATTAGTTAAATAAGTCTTAGGCCTCTAAAAAATGTGTTAGACAGCTAATTTACAAAAACATATGTCAACTTGATACTGAAGCAGTATAACTTTAATCTGTTGGTCTGGCGGTCATCAGTCAACAAGATAACACAGGTAAGGAGTCTAGTAGTTACTCATCGTGATATATGGACTACAACAACACAACATACCCAGTATTATCCCACACGGTGGGGTCTGGGGAGGGTAGTGTGTACGCAGACCTTACCCCTAACTTGTGAGGATAGAGAGGGTCGTGATATATGGACTATCTGGATCAAACAAAAGGACAATCGAACGCGTAGAATCAAAAACTTATCTAAAGAACACCCCCCCCCCCCCAAAAAAAAAA